CGAACTTAGCCCTTCCTTATTTGTTACGAATAGCTTTAGGCAAATGACGCATAACACTCAAACCGTATTCTTTGTTGACAGTTTTGCTGGTCGATAAAAATTCGGAGAGCACAACACCCCGATAATTGAAGAAAACTATTAAAAAAAACTTGATTTTTGACCTGCTTTTCTGGTTGCTGACTGCCACAATATTCGACCATTAAGCACCTTTTTGACATTTTTGCAGATCGTAAGCACAGTTTCAAGACTCCAATAATGAAGCGTTTCTTGACATCTTTTTAGGTGGAAAGCATTGTTTCGCAAACATTAACGCAACGCTCAAAAACATTTAGTGATTTCTTGTTTATACTATTCTTAGGYCAAATTATCTTTCAAAATCGTTTTCAATTATCCTCCCGAAATTACAACGACACCAATAAGATCTCTGACTGCTAATACTTTAATCGCTGGTTCTCAAGCACCAAATTTCTTTTATTTTATTGAGTTCCTGATCATCAGTTAATTTTGATGGTCATCTTTTACATAGTTTGTCGTCCACGTGTTTTCGACCCTCTTTGAATAATTTTTACCAATCAAAACCAAAAGACGCTACAAACAATTATCAGTCAAGACTTTTTATTTTTCATAAATAATTCCACTCCACTTAAAAGTAGTCCAGTGCACGTTATGTACTTCAAAAAGACTCTAAAGATTATTTTGATGTARCATTTGGCACAGATGTCACTGACAGTCATAAATACCTAGAACAAAAATATTTCGAAGGATGGGCTTACGCGCGAAATTGAAATAGAAAAATCTTACTATTTTTTGCCCAAGGTAGTGCAGATGTTTAATTTCAACTCACATATGTATTGCTAAATCAAATAGCGCTATTATGCCCTGCGTAGGTGCAATGTAAAATGATCATTATTCCGATTTTGGTCAGTTAGTTGTATAACACCTATATGCTATAGTACTCCGATATCGGCGATTCCGACATACGAGGAAATTCTTGGGAAGGAAATGATGTGTGCATAATTTAAGATCGATATCTCAAAAAATTAGGTACATATAGGGACGTTTCTTTTCGGGAGTTGCAAATTTATGAACGTCCTCAAGCCCATGCACACTCCCACTTTAAGTAATTCAAGCAGTGGCGATTAGTATTTAATGTATTTATGGACAAATTTCTCATTGAGTAAGTTAAAATTAACATTATATGCTTATTTGAGGAAGCACACTTGTACATTTATATTTGTTGTTACCAGTGTCTGATTAAATTCATTTTTAGAAATCCCTATTTATAGGCCCATCATTGCATTAGTTTACTCGGCTTCGTCCATTCTTTTATCACATGGGAAAACTCGCTGTGYTGACAGTTTAATTACATTTTAATATTTACATTGYGAGCGTACGCCATTCTGCGSAATTTTTTYGTTACTGTTCAAAAAGTAAAAACAAAAACGAAACGTTTACTTTAACTGTGATAACAATTTATCATCGCCGAGTTTGTTTTTATCTCTCGGCACTTTTGATAGGCTCTTAATTGTTTCCACTTTCCGCAGCTGTGGCTATGTGACTTCTAGAGCACTTGCTCCCACTTGTGGGCGAGCTCTTAAACACATATGTACATATGAGCGTGTATATATCAATAACTAAACATATATGGTTATAGCTCGTGTGTTTGTACGACTTATTTGTGAAACAACAAAGCCTTGTGGCATGCGAAACTGAATCCAAGCACCTCCGGCTACTGAGGAACGTGTGGCGCTTTTTATTCGGCAAAGTCTGTTTGAGCAAAAAGTAACTATCTCGGCGTTAGATCTTCGCGYGAACGCTTTTGCATTAGCTAATACGCGCGAATGTGATCCGCTTTCTACATTCGACGATTTATGAATTCTACAAAAGTGCCGCAGTTTTGGCGTGTTTAATTAATTTTCATAAATATTCGCAATGAAAGTGTGAACAACTCAATTATCCATTGCGGGCTTAGTGATCACATTGCGTGCGAGAATTGTCAGCGGGCCAGAAGCTGAACGCTCAATTGCATAGCGTGTATGTGTATGCTTGAACTCGTGTGATGTCGGTCAATTGAAGTGTTGAATCCCATTTCAGCCAATTCTTTCGAAATGCAAGGGTTTTAAAGATTGATGAGCCATTGAAAAGTGCAACTTCGTGCTTTTGCAGATTTTGAAGAAGTGTGAATTTGTTGTGAAGTTGAAAATATAAATTAAAACAAAAAAAAAACCCAAAGTGAAATTTGTAAAACGTTAATAATAATAAGTGAAAGTAAATGTCTGGCCAACCCTCTTAAAAGTAGTAATTAAATACTTTAAGTTGTCATAGTAAAAAAAAAGTAGTTTCTTTCAATTTTGAGTAAATATGATTGACTGATTTTCACTGAAGTGTAACCCCTCATTAGTTGATATTCTTGTGGATATTTCAAAATGCTTCAATAATTTATGTCTTCTTCTGTGACCTTCCATCTACACATTTTCTAATAACTTGTAGCGTTTTCATTTCACAGAAGCATTTCGCATTTACTCTGCTCAAGTTCAGACTATCAATATTTGCCAGCTTGGTATTTTTCAAGTGCACAAAATTTCGTATCGCTATCTCAAAAACGAAGGTACTTGTTCGCGTATATACAGACGGACGGGATGACTAAATCGACTTAGCATGTCCCGCTAATCATTTATACATACATACATGTACTAAGTCTTTACTTTTTAGGGTCTCCGACGATTTTCTGTGGGGGTTGCACACTGCCTGGCAAACTTAATATGCCCCATTCAGTTTATAAAAATATAAAATTGACGTAACTGACATAGAATATATGTATATGCCTAAAATCTTGCGTTTTATGGGACAACATTTTTTTCGACAAAAATAAACGAAAAAAAGTTAGGTTCGGGTGCAAACGAACACATACTCTTCCAACTTGTAAGAATCAAAGCCAGGGCAATAGAAGGTGCATTCCAAAGTAAAGAGGACTTTTTGAGTTTAGCGCCCCCTGGTGGCACCATCTATATATCGACTGTTGCGTTAGAATCTACTATCTTTCATTTCATTGATTCAAAGTGAAGTTATTGCGTTTTAGGTATCAGTATGTTTGTGCTTTCGGTGCGAAAATGACCTTCGATCAAAGAGCCAAGATTAAATTTTGTTTTAAAATTGGTAAAACTTTTACCGAAACGTTTCAATTGATGAAACAAGCTTATGACGATGATTGCCTATCCCGTAGTAGAGTGTGTGGGTGGTTTCAACGTTTTCAAAGTGGTCGTGAGGACATAAGTGACGATCAACATGTGGTCCAATCAAAATTCTTGATCACCGGAAATTCCATAGAGACTGTGCGTGAATTCATCAAAAATCAGCCGAAATCAGCCGATATCATCATTGAAACTCATAGAAATGGAATTGAACATCTCCAAAACWTCGATTTATCGCATTTTGACCGCACAGTGGGCTTACGAAATGTGTGTRCAGGGTTTGTTCCGCACAAATTGACTGACGACCAAAATTCGCACAGAATCCAACACTCAAATGAAATCATTAAAGAGGTTTATTTGACTAAAAATCACATTTTAACCATTTACTACTCCCCGTATTCACCTGATATGGCACCGTGCGACCACTTCCTTTTTGTAAATATGCATTACCCATGAAAGGAAAGCGCTATGCAGACGTAGAGGCCATTCAAAACTCYTGCACCGGCATACTGACGGCCATACAGGCCAACAAGCTAATTAATTATAAATATTAATAACACTAAGCAAATACATATGAGCCATTTCGGTCGACCACTTTTTACCAATTTTCGCTAGACATTAGTCTTTCAGTGTACAACTGTCATCAGGGCAAATCGAAATTTGCAGAACGGAAGCGGGCGATGGAACATCGTCTCTGTAAACTTGACAAATTTCATTGCTGCCTCTCGTGGCATTCTTCCCTTTTTAATACATTTCAAATTTCCTCATTATTTTCACTCATTTTTGAACAGCTGTAACTTTTTTCAAACTTAACTAAATTTAATTTTGTTTTTTGGTTAAATGAAGCTTAAGACTTCTCAACACTATATAATATAAAACAATGTAATTGGTAGCATAAAACAATGTAATTGGTAACATTGGAGATATACGACTTCAACGACTTCTATTGCTAAAATACAAAAAGACTTTTCGACTTCCCAATATTGACTGACATTTTCTAACCAAAATCAATTATAGGTACCGGGTACCTAAACATTCGGTACCTAGGRGCTACAACAATTTTTATTGGATTTATACAATTTTTGGTCATAAGTTGAAACACACTAAAGACATTATTCGTGGATCAATTGGAATTTAAGAATGTGTTAAATAAAAGTAGGCGTCCTAGTTGTCTCTTTTCGTAAGAACAATCACACGTACTAAAGGTGGGCTGAGCCACGCCCGTCGTCCAATTTTCACACGAACTCCCATAAAGCTCTCTCATTTCAAAAATTTAATTTCTCTGGCATTTTTAGTAGTTTTTAACAGTACCGTTATATGGGGAGTGAGCGTAAAACCGTTGGGTGAACAAAACTATAATATTCTTTAGCAACTGGTTGCAAGAGTATATTGAAGTAGCAATTATATATAATTTGGTCTTGACCTTTTCCAACTTCCGCACTTGACCTACATATTTAGATTGTGTGACAGTAATTTGAATGTAATAAATGAAATGGAAATGCATGTAAAGTTTCTGCCAATACTCATGAATTACATAGTTTGCATATTTACGATTTAGAAGTAAATACCTATAAACCTAATATTTTTTCTAGAAAACATACCAACGCTTAAATCAACCRAAGACAAATTCAAAACCAATTGTGAATGGGAACGAACTTCAAGCTAATTAAATATTAAAAAATGAAAACTATTTACTAAAGCAAAGAGTTTTTTATTTGACTAAAGGATTACAGTGTTAAAATTTATATTGTGAAAATGCAAATCTTAGTGCAAATTGCCAAACAAATGATAACCTAAATAACGGCCGAAATGAATTTACTAGCGCCCGCTTTGAACATAACCACCGAACTCCCCACCATCCACCTAAATACTAGCAGTTATGCTTTCGCCAATAATTYACTAGCTGAAAGCTACAACAACAGCAATGCGTTCCTTGATGAACATTACGCTAACGATACAGACGTTGGCTTTTTCGACGGCTTCGTGAATAACGGCAGTGAGAGTGCTTTCAACGAGTTAATCGCCAACCTAAGCACAATTGCATATGACTTTGGYAAACAATTAGTAAGCACAGTAATCGATGCAAATGTCGAAGCCACAACGCCCGCCGTCAGCACAACACCCATCCCACCGCCAGCAGCGGTATCGTCAGCCGCGATGCGTGCCAGTGCTGCCAATAGTAATATTGTGGACTACCACAATGTGTCATTATCGCTGARCAACTGGTGGCTTAACGCCACAAATTCAACGACACTAACCGCCAGCGATGAAGGGGCTACGGTTAGAGGGAATGCGCGGAATACGAGTACTGATGCTGATAGTTGGGTGACAAACACACATAATGTTTACAGCAACTACGACGACGAAGGATTAGACCCGTGCCATCCAAACAATTCGAAATTCAACTGCACACAGACTGATTTTGTGAAATTCCTGCTCGGACCGCAAACGCTGCCACTCTACAAGGCTTTGCTGGTAAGTACGCACACAATATATTTTCATATTTTTCAAATGCGTCGCTAAAATCTCAATTGGAAATAAGGTTACTAAATCTACTATTTGCTAAGAATTTCATAATTTCTAACAAAAATAAACATACACGCTACACGCCTTCCCAATATGTTGTATAGGTATTCTATATTCGTTTACATCTAGTTATTTGTAACTTGCCAAAAATATTGGCATCTGAAGGATTGTAAATAAAATGAGCAGAAAGCGAAGAGAACTGAATTGATTTCAGAATGTAACTTCCTTAGGTTAGGTTAGATAGCTGATCAAGGGATCACACATAGACTACATACTATAAGCAGTATTTTGTGAAGCCACAAATCCCACTATCCTGGTGAGACATTTAAAAATATGAGCTATCAAGTACCATATTTAAACCATGATCTGGTAAACTCGGGACAATCACGAAGAAGGTTTTATTATGTTTTCTTCCACTCCATCTTCTTTTACAGAGCTCTTGCAGCTGTCGTCCGGAAAGATTCCAAACCTTATGGCATGGATGCCGATAGCACAGTGGCCTTTAAAATCACTATAACTAGGGAGCGGCGAGCTTTATTGCGGGCAAAGAGGCCAGTGGATCTCTTACGATTGATTTTTTGCCAAAAGAATTTTACGTCAACGCATGAAGCGATGGCAGCTTAGTTATGCAGTGATAGAACTCACTAGGAGAGGAGTTATATTCTACTGATAGCCTAGTTAGGGTATCTCTCCTTGCCAGCACATTAGCTTTATAGTTACTAGCGATTTTTGTGTGGCCTATTACGCATACTAGTTTTATCACAAAGTGACGCGGTGTCATTGATAACTAGGTTAGGCATTTAGGCTTTCTAAGGAGAATTCAGAAAATAACGCCTTCATACTTGTATTGTGCGGATTACGTTACTACAACCTCGTAAAAATTAATTTTACGAAACGGCTTGTAGAGAAATATATAAATAATAAAATTGTATGGAATATGAACATGATCACTTGAAATTGAATATACAATTATTTTATAACTGTCTTCTTGTATCAGTGTAAAAATGGAACAATTCGGTTAGTTATCATAGCCACTTCCCATAACGTGATGTAAGTTCAAAACTAGCTAAACTTCGATGAAACCTTCGGAAAGATATTTTAAACGTTAATTCAAGAGTATACCACCCTGGAGAGAAATATTTTATCTCTCAAACTATTTTTCTTATTTCAGATGAGAGCGCTTTATTACCAATTGACTTAATTGGCGTCGAAACAGATAATTATAGCACAAATTTGTACGTGAAATCGAAACATAACCAATGTATATTATTACTACCAGTGTCATATGCCACCATTCTGACTGTGTTTTCTTCCATAGCGCTTTCCGCGCTTCCTAATAAAACTT